AGAACTATATTTCCCAGAATTCCCTTCCCATGCTGTCCTGGATGAGGGTTGTCAGGACAAACATGCATGAGTTTGGAAGGCCAAAATGACACAGCAGTCCTTTGTTTGCTGGTTGGCACAGGGCTCTTGCCACCACTATGATTTGCACACTGTGTGGTTGATCAGTGGCTCCCATTGTAGGTGTCAGGGAGCAACAAATTTGACCAGATATTCTCTTAGAACTTCTCCAAGTTACAGGTCAGGCACACTGCCAGAGACCTTGGAGAAGGGCAGCCATTTTTCTGCAGGTGGCCTGTATTCTCAAATCTGAAGGGGGAAGAGACAGGTGCAGGCTGCAGCAACTCTCATAGACTCCAGTTTGTCATAACAGGTTCACTTGATTTTGAACTCAAAGCTGAACTTTCTGAGTTCAGCTTTTCCTCTGCTCTGTAGAGGAAAAATCAAAGATAGGCAACAGCTTTCCATAGAGATCTCTACCAGCTTCCCTTCATGGCTCTGATTAGGATGTTTTTCCTTTCTCCCAGTTGTCCCCTTGTAGACCTTTGCTTCCTTGACCTCTCCCACAATTGTGTAAATGAAAGAAATTTCTCTAAGAAACTGTTTACACACGTCATCCACTGTGATTCTGCTTCAGGTAAAGCTGCTCACCCTTTTATAGGTAAGCTTGTTATAGGCCTTTCTCTACCTGACCTTCCTTTAATTGACTGCACTACAGGCATTGTACTTGTTCTCAAGGGATCATTAGCTACTAGTAAAGGATAATGATATTTAAAAATGTATCTCAATATTTTTAAATAGTCATTGTGATAGACTAGAAGCAAATATTAAAGTGTAGAGTAACCTAAGGTCTGGGGCTCCCAAGAACTAGCCAGCTCCAGCTGATAAGTGAGAAAGAAACTTCTAACATGCTTAAGCCACTGTTATTTGGGTCTTTGTTATATCAGTTGAACTTGAATTCTAACCAATACACACATTCAACATTTTTCTTAGTAAAATTCAGTCATTCGAGTAAATGTACACCAAAAACTCTCTTCTTATCATTATTCTCATTCTCTTCTTTCTGATGGCTCAAGCTGATATGCTCACTTACTTAACAGAACTTCAAAAAATGAGAGACTATGTGTCTATCTTGCAAAAAAGTACACAATGGCCTATTTAATAGCCTGGTTAATGGACAATGATATAGTATTTTTGTTCATTCTTATTTCTAATGTCTCTTCAAGAAGAGCATTAAACTAAAAATAATTAACTGCTATAGTTTACACTTGGAGTATCCCTCAAAGGCCATTGTGTTAAAGGATTGGTTGCCAGACTGTAATGTTATTAGGTGGTGGTAGATCCATTAGGAGGTTGGGCTTAGTGGAAGTCAAGTCATTAGGGGTGTGCCTTTAAAGGGAATATTTGGGCTCTTGCCTCTTCCTTCCTCTCTGCTGCCTGGTCACCCTGAGGTGAGTATGCTCCTCTGTCACATGCTTCCACCATGATGTACGGCCTCACCATAGGCCCAAAGGCAGCAGGGTCAAGTGACCATGGACTGAAACCTCTGAAAACCATGAGACAAAATAAGTTTTTTTTCCTTTTAAGATGCTTTTCTCAGATATTTTTTTCATAGCAATGGAAGTTTACACATTCTCGGACTAGGGATTAATTTTGAGTTTTAGAAGACAAGAGACGTTTTCACTTATTCCACTAAGTCACTTAACTTCTCTCAAGATTCAGTGTCTTTGTTTATGGAAATAAATGAAGATCATTTTTTCACAAGCTTATTGTGAAGGTAAAATGAAGTATTCCAAAGTATGTAAAAACTGCTGAGCATAGTTTTTGACACAATAGTGTCAATGAATACCAACTGAATCTAATGGTGTTAGTCAGTTTTTCTGTCACTGTGACAAATACCTGAGAAAACCAGCCTTTGGGAAGAAAGATTTACTTTGGCTCACAATTTCAGAGATTTTAGCTCTTGGTTGGCAGTTCCATTGCTTTGGGCCTGAGGTGGTGAAATGTCATGGTGGTAGGGCTGTGTGGCAGAGGTAGCTATGAAGCAGAGGGGGCTGAGGAAGGGACCAGATACAACATGTGGCACCCAAGAACATACCCCCAACTGAACTACTTCTTCCAATTAGACCTTTGCTCCAGAAGTTTCCACCACGTCCCAATACTGTAACCAAATTATTAATCCATCAGACTTATGGTGTGGCTTAAGTGCTAGAGTGCCTGCCTAGCAAGCACAAAGTCCTGAGTTCAAAACCCCAGTACTGCCTTCAAATTATGAACCCATCAATTTAATAATCCTTTGATTAAGGCAGTGTCCTCATGATCCAATCACTTCTCGGACTGGAACCAAGCTAGGGACCAAGCCTTCAATACACAAGGCTGTTGGGGAACACTTCATATCCAATCCACAACACTAAACTTTTAAAAGAATTAGAGTAGGGAACTGCTTAAGGAATCTTAGTAGGTTAATAACTATCTCCAATAATTGTTATCAAAATCAAATTGGATTTCTTATAAAGGGTAATTCTTGCTCTAATGCAATGAAATATGAAATGATATGTTAGAGAATGAAGCATTTGCTGCAGTTTCCAAAATTTCCAAAAAATTAAAGAGAGAAGTGGGACATGAGCTTGGAAAGATTCCAGCCATGAATAGTTTGATTCTGGAAGTTTTAAGTCAATGTCTGTCATACTGAACATGTACCACAACATAAACGTTTTCAACCTGAGAGTTTCTCTGAATTAAAACCAGGAGGGCATCCCTTTCTTTCTGCTAACCTTTTCTTAGATTTGTAGTTGATTCTTGACATTTCAAAAGATTGTATCAAGAAAATGACACACAAGGAGATATGTTTAGTTTTATGATGAGCATATAGAAGAAGATTCTGCCAAAAGAAATCAATAGATTGGTAACTACCACTTAAAGCTTGTTAAATGAATAAAACTCACTGTAGTTGTTCATATAGAAAAGTTTCACAAATAAGATCAAGTTGTTCCTTAGTAGAAGATAGCACCAATACCTTGCCCTCTGATCGACTATGAAACATATCCTGAAAAAAAGATGATTGTCTAATCTTAATGTCATAAGCTTAAAGTATCAGAGTAGTCACATAAGTATCTTACAGGTACACACGCAAGATTACTGAATCCTGATAATGCAGAAACTTGTTTTCAGGGAAGCTGTTCATTAATTATATTGTCATTGTTAAGTCTTAATAACCAGTGTCAAGGTTCAGATGCAAGTCGGAGTCTTTGCATAGACAAATATGTCTGCTCATGGATGAGCCAGCTTTTGGACATTCATGTCTTAGAATGTACAGCTCAATGTTTTCTCTTCTTTATTTTTATTTTTGCCATGCTAGAGATTGAACCCAGAGTCTTTCACATGCTGGTCAAGTGCTCTAATGTAGAGCTATATTCCCAACCTTCCTATGACCAGTCTTGCCACAGCTGATTAGAACTCAATTGCCATCACTGACTTGGCACAGCAAAGAACAGGGTTGATCAGCTACTCCCCCGCCCATCTCTCTGGAATTTGAACAATTTGAGTCTAGGAACTGATATTTTAGAAGTGAAAGTAGAAGTTGAACAATGAGGATATAGTGTTGCAGGTGAGGACACACAAGTACGTGCAAATCTAGTTATTAACTAACAGAGATTTAGTGGGACAATTCTGCTGGTTCAGCAACTGGAAAGAAGCTGACGGGGGTATGACACAGTCATTCAACTACAATCTCCTTGAAGACAGGAGTAAGGTTCTGATGTTCATTACCACTTTCCCAACATTTAGCATGGTTCTTGGTTATTAAAATAAAAAAAACAGTCACTGATACCTGTCACCTTAATGCATAGTTAATGAGTCAGCAGTAGATGGCTAGAGCAAGCCTTATATGGTCTTCTTTCCAGAAACCTTGCCCAGCACCCAGTGTCAGAGGACCTACATTCCTTCACAAAATTCCTTCTTCAACACAACCTATGTCTTATTGGTCTAGAATTTCCAATGAGTCCCTTTAATGGAGTCAATTTGTTTGCCTCTTTCATGTTTGTAAAAAGTTTCAAAACTGAATGCAGTAGAGAGGCAGAGACTGAAAAATGAAAGGGAATAGGGAAGGAAACACAGAGGAATAATGAGGAAAGGCAGAAAGAGGATAGGAAATGAGAGAGGAATGGAGGATAAGGAATGAAGACTAGGAGGTGGGGCTTAGAAAAAGACTACCCTTCATTTTAAACCATTTTTTTACTCTAAGATACACAACCACCCTACAGGAAGGTTTAGATTTTGAGTATGAAGCTAAAAGACTACAGAACTGCAAAAACAACCTATTCTAGCTAATCCATCTCTAAGAGAGTTTGTTCAAGTGTTTAGAGTGTCATTGGAATAAGCTAGATCTAGAACATAAAATCACCTTCTAGCTACCTCCCTATAAGTTATTTGTATTGTGTTGGATGGACTAACTAGACTCACATTCTTCTGTTTAATGGATGAATCAAAGTGCCCTGGGAGGTTACTCTAGTAAATAAAATTTACTCAAAGAATTGATGCAGCCTCCTTCCCATCTCATGATTCCCTTCTTCTTATTACTAGAATGCATCCATTATTGTATCTTTAAGAAAATCTAAACATTTGATTTCTTTTTCTTCCACCTACAAAGATAATCAGGGATGACATGGAGAAAAGTATAACCCAGGTAAACTAACTTTCATGAAACAGTATAATTTCCTCAGGCAATAAATTTTTCAGGTTGGATTAACCCCAGTCAATTGCATTAAATTATTCTCATATGACAGATAATGGGAGATTTATCCTTCAGTTGGATACTAGCCTTGTGCTTTTCAGAAGCACACTTTCCACATTCGTAGAAACATCAGATGACCATTACTATTATCTCGCTTCTAGTACTTACATGCAATTAATACTATAAAGCAGTAGATGGTCTAACTGATTAAAACCAGTTCAATAACATTCATAATGGGAAAAAGGCAAGGAATACAGAATAAAGTACTTACTTGGTCCTAAACCAACTGAAAAAGCAGCAACATAAACAAGCAAGCTGGCCAACGACAGCCATTTCAAAACAGGTGGGATGGCTGTAGAGTCTGTGTCTATCTGGTGTTCAGTTGGGCTTAGTCCAACATTTGGTAAAGATATGGAGGCCATCATTGCTCTCCTATCCACGTCACTTCCCATGGATTCATGTGAGTCCCTGATGGTGGAAGTGATTTCATTAAAGTGCTCTCTGAGAGTGCCGTTGCCAGTTGACAGGTCTCCTGCTTTAGAAAACATGAACTCGTCCAAGGACTGGTTGACAGGACTATGGCTTCTGCAGATATTGGTGACGTTCATGTGGAGGTTGAGGTTGACAATGCCCATGGTCAGTAACGAGGCTGCCATTACAGAGGAGCCAATGCACAGGAAGGTTTTGCTACCAATGTGGTCTACGAGAAGTGTGGCTGGGACGGTGCTAACAACCTTGACTACCCCAACCCCAGTAGAGGCCAGGCTAGCTGCCTCATTGCTTTGGAATCCAACAGACTTCAAGACAGTTGATGCATAGAATAGTATGTTTGGCTGGCCAGTGACTTGTACAAAAAATACCAATGTTACACCTATCATGATTCGAGTCCTCATGTTGTCCTTGGAACGAAACAGATCCCAAAAACTATACTGATATTCATCTTTCAGGGAAGATTTTATCACAGTCAATTCCTCAGTGGTGTCTGAGGTCTCTCTTAACTTTCCAAGAACCTTGCTTGCAGCTTCCTCTTTTCCTTTCATCACCAGAAACCGAGGACTTGGAGGAAGAAAGTACATTGCAATTGCTTGCAAAATTCCCAAGGGAATAACAAGACTAAACATATACTTCCAGCCATGGGAAACATTGGCAAATGCATAATTTGAAATGTAGGCAAAAAGGATGCCAGTGACGATCATCAGCTCATTCAGTGACACAAGAAGGCCTCTTCTGTGTGGTGGAGCAATCTCGGCAATATACACACAAGTGGCGATGGAAGAGAGAGAAATGGAAACCCCTATAGCAATGCGCCCCACAATAAGAATGGCGTAGGATAAACTGAGTATCAATACCACACTTCCAAGTCCCAGGAGACAGGAAGACAAGATGATTGCATTTCTTCTTCCGTACCTGTCTATCAGGACCCCACCGACGAGAGAGGCAAGAAAGGCCCCGATGAGGAGGGAACTCACGACCATTTCCTGCTCATGACATGTCAGGCTTAATAGGGTTCTGATCTGAAGAAGAGCCCCAGAGATGATCCCGAGTTCATAACCCACCAGGAGTCCACTTACAGCAGCAGTGACAGACGTCAGGAAAGTAAACATGCTGCAACCTGCAGAGAGGAGAAACAGAGAGCTCAGTTCTGATTTGTTATTCTAAACATCTTAGAGCCCAATGGAGACTTAACCTTGTATAAGTCTTTCACAACACTGAGTTTAAACACACACAAGTATAGTAAAATAATGAACTAGACAAAAAGTGATTAGCTATAGAAGGAACAAATCATTTTTCTTTGTTGTTTAGGAGGAGAGACAAGGAGACATCAAGTAAGTCCAGTTTCCTTCTATCTATGATGTTTATGTTGTTTTTAGTCATTGTGAAGATGGCTACACAAGATGAGCAGATGACAGATGATTTGAGAAAATAAGGATACCATTTAGTGCCTTGGCATTGGATTAGAAGTTCAGATTGCCTGGTTCCTTTCGTCCCTCCCCAGTTTTCTAAAGGCAAACCTGTGAGGGCAAAGACAGAAAAGGAAGGAACATCTAAAAGGCCTACAGCTTCCCTGCAGTATAACCTGGACCAAATGAAACCAGGACACTTGCCCTTGTGCATCCTTGGCCACAAAATTGGGCTACCATTGGCTTTTGTCAATGCACACAAAGTGTTTTGGGGCCAATGGTGGAGGTAGGAGCTAGAGGTGTGTGAATGGCTTAACAAAGTCAAGGTGTCGTTAGAAAGAAGAAAGGGAGGCATGGATGCAGGTTAGGGACCCCACAGAATTCGTTGCTTACTCAAGTAAGAAAGAAGGTGGAACAGAGCAGGAGAGAACAAAGCGGACTTAAAATTTCTCTCTTTATAAATGTAAAATTCTAGAAACCATGTCAAAAGGTAAACAGTTATTACTTTTCAGTAGCAGTGTGCAAGTATTTGTTCTATATTTGCAACTTGACAAAATAGAAGCAAAACAATACAGGAAGTGGCAGAAGGAAGAGGATTCCAGACACAGTAGAGAAAAGTTTCCAACACATATGGCAGGAAAACTGTGGTCATGTCTTAAGAACTGTCAGATGACCAGCATGTAGTGGGTGAGGCACACTATGACCCTGGGGGTAGTTGAGGGAGGGCAGAGATTGAATTTGAATAGATGTGGAGGGGCCGTTCACACAGGTTAGTTGCATTCCAAGTATATTGAGTTCTACACCCACTGTATAGTTCAGAGGGCACTGACATTATGGATTTCTTTTTAAAGACTACTGTTGCTGCTACATGGAGACTGGTTCTTTAAGGAACGACACTGGTAGCAGAGAGGAGACGATTGCCTTGGATTAGATAAGAGGTGATGGCAGCTTAAATTTGGGAGTTCAGAATGGAACTGGAGACAAATAGACAAATACATGACTTATTTTCAAGCTGGAAATGACTACACTTGTTCATGAACTGGAGACAGGGCATAAAGGTCTGGGTATGGCTTAAGTGGTAGAGCACCTGCCTAGCAAGTGCAAGGCCCTGAGATCAAACTCCAGTACTACCCCACCAAATTCAATAATCCACATTAAATAAAACTAATTTATGAGGATTAACCCATTAAATTTAAATTAAATCAGCAATTCATCTAGGTAATCAGAAAATAAATATTTAACACCATTAAATAGCAGGTACTTTTCTAGGTGCTGAAATACATACACATATGTAGAAAAATTCAACAGCTCTAGTCTTTACCTCCAAGAAAGCTAACCATTTGGTGGTATTGCTATTATCTATTATTTTTTATGTACTGCTTTTTTTTTACACACAAAATGACTGTGACATTCTCTCTTATAGGTCCAACCCTGTCCTCAGTTTCTACACATTGCTTTTCTCATATGATCTTAAAAGCCAACAACAAATCCTTCTACTAGAAGAAGAATTAGGTAGAATTTTTGTATTTGTATACTAATATTGTTCCTACCTCTATTTACTATTGTTCATTTTATCTATGTTTCATTTATTGATTAGCATATGTGTTTAGCAATTGGCAATTTATCTCTGAAATTCTGATTGGAGAAATAAGTGGCTTTTGGAGAATGAAACCCTTGAAAGCCAGATTGAGTGAGGCACCAGAAAGGACATTCAGAGTAACCCAGGGCAGCCAGGGACACTGAACTAAGAATGTGAGAAAATTGATATTGGATAGCAGAAGGCTGTGCTTGCCACCTGTCTTCTACTTCCTCTTCCTTGCTTTCCCTTTTACTAGATGGGAAATAATGTTTCCTTATAAAGAGCAAGGGTCCCTTCCTTTGGTGCTCAACTCTCTGACCCTGGGGAGAGCCAGAGCAGGTGGGCTGAAGCTGGCAGCTTCTTGTAGTCTTGGGAGAATGCTCCTGACAGAAGAGGGATTTGGCTTCTGCTTCCTGCTTTCTCAACTGAGGTCATTTGCCCAAGCCAGGGCTCAAAGAACAATGACAGTGTATGCAACAGGTCTTGAAGCCATCCCAGTTTGTCAATGTCCCTCTTGAGACATTGACAGCAACCTAACATGTAGACTATAATTGTTCAGAAATGTAATAAAGGTATTTCCATAGGAACTGGTAAAAAAATTACTTTAAATGTTTTTACAACATTTTACTCTTTTATTATCAATTTATTGTATCTATCTCTAGGCAATTTACCTCTAAAAGATTAAAACTTATCACTAGAATATTCTATAACCTTAGTACCAACTGGAAAGCTTACCAACCTGGGGTTATATGCTACAGTATTGAGCTAAGGTCTTAATTGTCTGAATTTTCTTTATCGTCCCTGTTATATTTTAAGGAGTGCTATCCCAGCTAGCATCCATACTCTCCTTACTAGTGGGTCTTAGGACAGCTGAAGTTCCACTACAGTCCTCAGGGTGCCCACTTGGGGTTTTGAATTCTAACTCATTGTGTAAGGCTACCCATAATTTTTCCAATGACACCCCAAGACTTCCCTCAGAGAACATTCTCCCAGGTGCTATCTTCCCACATAAAAACCATATGAAGAGAGACATGAAGATTGACACAGGAAACTGCGTCTACTTTTTCATTAACGGTAACAGTGGAAGCAAGATGGTATTCCATGAATGCCAGGGAGTACAGAAATTTTCCAGGAAATATGGCGGTAACCACGGGGATGTGGTCTGAAGTGGTAGCAGGAAGGTAGGATCTGTGAGAATGTAAACATGGATGTGTTTGGGGCAGCTAGGTAGACTGAGAAGCATTTGGAGCTAAGAGAGAGACATGAGCATATGTAATTTGTGCTTTTAAAAAAATACCCAGCCCTGAAATTGGACAGTTTATCTTTAATTATAATGATGACATTTAGCCTCCCCAGTTATTTTGCTCATAGACTTGCCTCACCAGTGCTGTAGGGAATTTTCAGCTTCCTTTCTTTGGACATCACAGAAGTGGAAACCAGTTGGTCCCCACAGGCTGTTGGGTTCTGCTTAGGCCCTGTGTCTTCTGGCCACTTTGCTGGAACACCAACAGTTGCAACAGAAAGCTCTCCCATGCGCCTTTCAATAAGGATGATTCCTTATCAAGGTAATACGAAGATGTGGTCACAATCAAGAAAACTGTATGCAAATGAGCAGTAAGACACACAGCACAGAGCCAGGGACTGCAGGCACCCTCCAGGAACCGCAGTGCTGGCTGCCACAATAGCCACACTGTCTCTGCTCATGGTGAGTCACGTGAAGCCACGACTGTACTCGACACGAGACACTCCATTTTTTGCAATATTTTCATTTCTGCCTGTTTTCTTTTTCCCTTTCTTCCCCAGATTCCCATGGCGTGGTATGCACATAATGGGGCACACAATAGGTACTTGCCACCTGACTAAATCCCACAGCAGGCTGAAAAGCAAGCACACACAGGTTTCTTTGGCAGGCAGCCAGGTACTTACACAGCTTGACCAATTGTGAAAGCTTTGCAAATTTCAAAGACCCCCTCCTTTGTGTTTTGTTCAAGGGAAACTTGCAATTACTCCAAACGTTTTTGCCATTGTGGTCTCTCCTTTCTTGGCTCCTTCTTTCCGAATGCCCTTCTCCCAGCTTATCTTCCAGCAGTCAGCTCAAGTGTCACCTCTCCCAGGAAAACCCCCCTTTAGTGGATTCAGCTGGCCTGTCCCAACCCTTCTGCATGCAGACCATTCTCAGAGGGCCTGACCCATTGTAAGACACTCATCCATGGACTTGCTTGTCATCAATATAAGACTGAAAGTTCCCTAAAGGCAAAAAGCCTGTTTTACTCACCTCTCTATTCTCACTGCAATATTTTGCACAAAGTAAATACTCACTATTTGTTGAAATAATGAATAAATACTGATCCTTGATCCTCTTCCTCCTCACAACTGTATCAGCAAAGGTCAATACATGGTATTATGTAATGGTTAGCATGTAGAACTTTCTAGTCACATAAAAGCTTAACGTTTGAACAGCATGCTATCAGCATTTCCATAAAGCTTTCAGCACTGTTATCTTGTTAATTGCAGAGACCATAAAATGTTTCATTGTCAAGTGTATATCTATATTTAATTAAAGGTCCACCCTGTGTATTAGATTGTTCTCTACTTGTGCTCTCAGCCCAAGGGACCCCTCAGCCCAAGGCACCTGATTCATCTTTGATGATCCAGCTCAAACACCCCATCTCTACAAAACCTTGCCAGGTTTCCCTTGTTGTGTTAGCATTAATCTCTCTTGCCTTTCTATCCATGGCCTATAGCACCATGGATAATACTTAGTTATGTCTATCTCTGGCCTGAGATCAGGAGCATTTTGAGAGCAGGAGTGTGTGTATCACAGGCTCTAAGATGCCGCAAGAAGGAGATGATCTGGCTTAGCCAGAAGACTTGCCTTACAATAGCTCCTAGAGTACACATCCTGTGGAGAGCTACAGTAGGGGTTTCCAAAAAAGTCCAAGATGCTGCCTTTTGGTCCTGGACCAAGTGTATGTCCTTGTGGTGATAAATACTGAGCACTTTCCCTTATCTAATCTCTGTCTCCCCATCCCTTCCCTACACTCCAGTCCTCTTTAGTATACACAGATCAGCTTGGCTTCCCAATACCTCTCATTCTTTGACCTTTTCAGAGAGAAAAGACAGGAACTTTGC